GGTCGGAAATTTCCCCGGTGCGGCGGCGAGTGGCGGCGGGTGGCGGCGGTCGGCCTCTGGTTCGTCTTCTCCGGCGAGCGGCTGGCGGCTAGGGTTTGTGGTCTGGTGTGGAGGTTCTATTTATAACCCCTTGCCTTTTGATCACAGCCGTTCATTTTGTTTTAATCTGGGCCGTTCGTTTTTGATTGAATCTGGGCCGTCCGTGCGATTGAATCTGGGCCGTCCGATCGCGTGATTGATCTGGGCCGTCGGATCGCACCCACGCGGATCGCCAACGTGGCTCCTTTTGGAGTGACGCGGTCTTGCCACGTGGCAGGCCCTGTTTGGCCGGGACTGCTGACCGGGCCTGCTGACGTGGCTGCTGACGTGGCCGCCCTTTCTTTTTTTTTTTTTTTTTTTTTTTTTTTTTTTTTTCCCCTTTCCGGGGGCTACATCATCATCAATCTAGTTGGGAGATGTACAATTTATTAACAACATTTAATATGAAAAACCAAATATCTCGAGAAAAAATTTATTTGTTTTTATCAAACGAATCAGTAAAAACGAAAACGATATGGGAACTAAATTTTTTAATTCGACGTAGTAAATATATTTACTTATAACATTATACTAAATTATTATAGTATATACTATTTAAATTTATTTATTTTATTAGTTATCCAAATAGTGGGTGGGGTTATAAAAAATTATGTATGTATGTATGTATATCACTTAATTAACGAATACGTAATTAACGTCGAGATAAAATCGATAACTATAAACATAATTATCTACAGGAATCATAATGTTTACTTTGGAAGGAAAAAAAAAAAAACATTTTATACGTACATGTAAGTAAGAAGGGGTGCGGGAAAAATCGTCCCATTCCGATTTAATTTGGCATATATATATATATATATATGTGTGTGTGTACAGAGTAGTTCCCATATATTTATATATAATAAATGTGGATATGTATGTATGTATGTATATATGTATAAGAAGTATATAGAGGAAGCAGACGTACACGTTGTACAAGTCTCTGCAACCCAACAAACTCACCTACCGAGTGACCCCAGAGAAGCTCTTGGATAAATATTGAAATAGAGAAAGTTAATTAACCACCCAAATTATAATATATATTTACGAGCTTTTAACAGGAGAATAAAATAATTAGGGAATTAATTAATTAATTAATATACGTGTGTATATATATATATATGTGTGTGTGTGTGTGTGTGTATGTATGTATGTAAGGCTGGAAAAGATGTAAAAGGAGAGAGGGAGTGTTGAGGTAGGGGGCCGGTTGGGGCATGGAAAGATGACGAAACAAATTAATTGTTTTGATGTGAAAATTTAATGTGCAGAATTTGTAGGGTCTACCAAATTGGATCCCATGGTTTTCTTGTGGGTTCCTCTCCCTTGTGTTTAATTTAGTTGATATATATACATATATATATATATATATATTTCAAAAGTGAAGTTACTAATTATCTAATTACAAAATAATATATTATAAAGAATTGAATTTCTCATCTAAGTTTAACACAAACATTTGATTTAGACAAGTACGTAGGCAGTTTTTAATGTAAGAAAATATATTATTATTGTAACGGTCTGAAAAATTTAAAGAAAACAATTAAGTATTTAGGGTCTGCTCGTAAGTTTTTTAAAGATCGGGTTCGAAAACTAAATTCTCATGATCTGAAATTGTTAAATAAAGTATGAGCTACACTAAAGTAGAAGAACATCACAATATATCGTCGTCATATAAATAAAAGTTGTTAAAAAAATAAAAAATAACTAACGGAGCACAAACTTTAAACAAATTCATTTATCAATAACAAGATTATTTACCATCCACTTACCGCAGTGAGATTTATGAAAATAGTTTATGAAAACAATAATATTATAAATATCGTGATTTCGTATATAATCTACAACATAACATGTATTTTAAAACTGAAGTTACTAATTATCTAATTACAAAATAATATATTTCAGAGAATTGAATCTCCGATCAAGTTTAACACGAACGTTTGATTTAGACAAGTACGCACGCAGCTTTTGGTGTAAGAAAACACGCAATTACTATTCACTAATCGGTAGGTAACTAAAGAGTGATCAAGTCCACTCCACTCCACTCCACTCCAGTGTCTTTCTCTTTGGTAATTTTGTCCACGGATTGTGACTCCAAATTTGTACGTTGTTTCTAACTACATGTCTTACCAGCTTCTTATTCCCATGAAACTTCCCAACTACAAATCAAAACTTCTATACGGACGGAATTAGCACGGACCACTTGATTCTTTTTTTCTTCTTTAAACTTCAGCATTAAGTGTATCGCCAACTCTCTCTCTCTCTCTATATATATATATATATATGTATAGATAATTAGTTAGTTCGTTTGGATACTAAGGGATTACTGCTATATGTATATTTACTATTTCGTCTCAAACTAACCAAACCATGGAATTACCAAGAATCCCAAAGATAAATAAATACACTTATTTTTCATTACAATCGAAAAGTATAGGAGGTGATGATTTGTGAGAAGAGCAAGAGATTGATTCCATACATTCAAAAAAAAAAAATTTGTGTCAATGCCGAAAGTGCAAGAAAAGAATTTGTGGTGCTGGGATTTTCACGTCGCGCGCTAAAAAGAGACACGTACTTGAATTCTTTGATGTTTGTAAAATAAAAACTGCGTCGTTTTAACCAAGCAAGTCTAGTTAAATTAAATATCGTACAGGAAGACAAAATGATTAATTGACAACTAAACATGTTATTATAAGGAGGGGGGGGCTTGCTGCTATTTTAACCAGCCGGAGTAAAAAGTAAACCCGAGGTTGGTTATACAACTTACAGAGGGTTAAGGAGTAAAAAGTAAAAAAAAAAGTAAAAAAAAAAAAAAAGAAAAGGAGAAGACGAAGATGGTATAAAAAAAAAAAAAAAAAAAAAAAAAAGTAGCAGCAGCTAACGTCCGTTAGCGAGGGGGCTAACGGCGGACTCCTTGCAGGGACTTGGAGGGAGACTAGACTTTCCCGACGCTACGAGGCGATCCACGAAGCTCTCGATTCTCTGCCCGTTAGTCTCCGTCAACAACCGCTTCCCGCCAAACGGTAACGACTCGACTCCTCTTTCCTTCAAAACCTCCTCCTCCTCCTCAATTCTCGGCCACACTTCTCCATCGTTCATCAATCCGTTAGCCTGACACAAGTTTAATCACTTGCGGTTAGTAAATCACAGCAGCGATACCATGGAGAAAGAAACGACGTCGATTTAAGTCATTTTCATCGACTTTTTGCGCAGATTTACTGCTCTAATAGCAAAAATGGACAGCGATAAATAGGAGGAACTGAATTGGCCGGTGAATGAGCTCTGTTTTTGAGCGTGAAAGAGTGAAATCTGAGTTCAAAGCTCTTTGGTAGAATTTCGCTAATGTATTATTTAGTCAACCAAACATGGATTGGGAATTGCTGTGGGATAATAAAGTATAGAATAGAATACCTGAATTCTCACGTAGTCAGTGCGGTTCCAGCAAAATGCGTTTCCCAACATTTGGTCTATGGTTTCGGACACTCCGTCAAGCACAATGTCAACGACCGAAGATGTGGAGCACTCACCGTCGTGACGGAGCTTCCGCCCTCCGGATGATCCGCTCGACGGGCCGTTACCTAGAGAGAGAACCAGAAGATCTTCCACGCCATTAACCGACGGAAAATCTCGCTTGTTGTGCAGTACGTGCGTAACTGCCGCCGCCGTCGGGTTGTTCATGACGAGGCCGCCGTCGACGGCCGAGCAAGAGGTTTTACCGTCGACGGAGGTCAGGGCAAAGGGCTTGAAGAGGCTTGGCGTGGCTGACGTGGCACGGCACACTTTCCAAAGCTCAAAATCGAAACTAGGTGACTCCGACGCGTCGGCGCGGGAGAAAACGAAGGGAGCAGAACTCTTGAGGTCAAAGCAAGGAACAAGGAGAGGCTTACACGTGTCCTTCAAGGTCAACACCTTACCGTCCTCTCTCTTGAACGCGTCCTTCAACACCTTATCCATACTGCTACCAGAAAACCTACGCCTCCGGCGAATAACGCCGGAGAATCTGACCTTGAACAGCTCCTCGTTCTTCTCGGATACAAGGTTTACAGCTTCCCTGGCAGTGAAGAGCGGACGGCCAGAGCCATCGTCGGCAACAAGCATAGCCGCGAGGATAGCGCCGATCCCAGTACCGGCGACAATATCGAAGAAATCTGCGATTCGAGCGTGGGGATCGCCGGTCTTGAGACGGATCTGGTCCTCGAGGTGGAGGAGAGCAGCTCCAGCAACAATGCCGGTGGTTCCACCGCCGTCGATGCTGAGAACTCGCGTCTTTTTTGTTATCTCACAGTGCGAAAGCCATTTCTGCTCCAGTTTGGTGAAGATCTCTAGAGTTACCTTACTGAGGTCCATAAGTGGGAGGTGGAAAGTGCGGTAGCAGGAATTAGTTATGAAATTGAATGTAGGTAAGAGAATGTATTTTGAGTTATAGACGGTTGATGGATTGACACACAGTGGTTTGTTGCAGTGAGCGAGTCCCCTCGTGAAACAGAGAAATGCGGTTCTCACGTTTCCTAGCTGAGAGTGTAAATTAATGAGGAAGCAGAACAGTTCTCCCCACACTCTCCACAGTCTTCTTCTCTCTCTCTCTCTCTCTCTCTGGATCACAGACTACACTTGTGTAAACTCTGCGCGAGTAATTAGTGGAAGACGAGAAAGAAATAAAAGAGTGTTTGGAGTCTGCGTCTGTTCAAGAGTGGAAAACAAGGAGAGCTCAATATAACACTTGGTCGACCACTCACGGTGGTTCTATATATATATATATATATACTCACCACTGGAATATACTCGTATTAAAATAAATATTTATTTCAGCAGGCGAGAAAAAGTCTTACGTGTGTAGACTGTCCTTGCACGTGCAAGTGCGCGCTTTAATATCGGTATACGGGGAAGCGGGAACCTCGGCTACTCACTCGGCTCGGCTGACA